GTTTGTAAAATACATGTAGGAAAAGTGAAAACAAAAAGTAAAGAGAAAAAAATGACAATATATAAAAGAGGTAAATTAAATATTACTTTAAAAAGTTAAAACAATTTAAAAAGTCAGTATTTGTTCCTTACTGAAGAGAACTCTCAATACGATTGGTGCTTTCCTCCAATCTCTGGTCCTTAGCTTTCTGGATTGACCAGGTGCAGCCTGGGAGGAACACTATGTACAGGGGCAGTTGCTGGGGTGAGGCAGGGAAAGTCCTGTAGAGAAATAGCAGTTCAAGGGAAGGCTGCTTTGTTGGGGTTTGATGGGATGGTATTGGGCATGAGAGGTAGCAGTTTGGGGTGGGTTGCAAGGTTGCTGAGCACAGATAGTGAGTCAGAAAGCACTCTTCCACTCTTGAATTCCATGCTTTTCCCAACTCAGGGAGTGCAGTGGCTGCTCTGGTTTGTCCACAGTGAGTTTTTTCATCCCTTTTCCACCCAGTCCTCCAGTTTAATGTTTCATTTGGAAAGTGAGAGGCAAATAGCTCCTGTCACTTTTTTATATACATACAACATTGGGTTAAACAGTGGGTTTAGGGCTGTAACCATTCAGCTAGCTCAATTCCACACTCCTCCTTGTCTTGGGATAGAGACTCAGATGCTGAGCTCTAGCCAGCAGGCCTCCTTGCCTCCCTGGCTCTTTCTTGAGGAAGAGGCCCAGGTGTCTAGCAGCATCACCCACTCACCAGTCCAGGGCCATGTGTGGGGGACATTAATCACTCAGCTTAGCCAGAATTCTTCTAAGGGGTCAGATATATTTGTGCCTATACACTGTATTTGGCTGAGCAATGGCCCTCAGGGTTAACACTGGTTATAGGAAAGTTCACACTGCTTCACCCACTTGTCAGTCCAGGGCCAGATGTAGGGGCCTTTAATCTGCCTGATTCTTAGAACATTTTCTCCAGGGGACAGATATATCTACATCTGCGCACTGGACTAACCTGTGCAGTGGGGCCAGTTTGCCCCACTAGTTCATTTCTGTGCCAGTCTTTTTGCTCTAGAGAGTGGGGCACAGATACCAGTTGCCTTCTGTCCAGTGGCCCAGTCAAGACTTGCAAACCTGCGCATAGCCCTGCATGCAGTTGTTTTGTTGATGGGTGGCCCACACAAGTAGCTCTTGCCAAAAAACGATCAAAGCAGAACAATTTTTAAAAACCTGGTCTGGGAAGATTGCGGGATGGATCAGATCTGTATGGTGGTTCTGATCTCCCTCAGACCAAGCTTTTCTCTAGTTCCTTTAGAGGTTTAGTTAAGAGTTCAGTATTTTTTTTTTTGACAGACAGCTATCTGTTCTTCTTCTTTTCTTTTCTTTTTTTTTTTTTTTTGTCCCCTCCCCTAGTTTACTAACTTGTCCACCTCTCTTTGAAGTCATATACCTGAGATTTTATTTCTTGTTTGTGGCAACACAGTAAAGTGGTGCCTGTCAAAATTAGTGGCATCTTGGAAAACTCTAGTCATTTCCATTTGTTCTCAGTGTTGGAGGACTGAAGCCATGAAAGAAAGACTGCACTGCTGTTGGGTTTTTGTGTTCAAACTTGAGGTATGGGAAAAAGGAGTGTAAGGATTTTAAAGAGTCTTTGTCCTAAGACACAGTGGGTGCAAGACCCAAAGTGTAAAGCCCAAACTGGGGAACTCCTGTTAGAAATCTTCCCAGTAATCCATCATAAGCCATCCTGATGCTTTGACTATCTACAGCCAAGGGTGATGGCAGCCAAATAGTTCCCAGGGCTCTAATGTGGAAGTGTCACAAACTATAACCCTGTATCCAACACTCATCTTTCTCATAATGAAAACTACAATGAACTATCAAAAATGACTGCTTTCTTTATTCCTTTATTTTCTATCCAAATCCTTCCTTTATTCTCTTCTTTTATTCTCTCCTTTCTTTATTCCTCCTTTGTTTGTCCATCAAGTTCATCTCAGGTATCTGCTGATGTGTCTGGCTCTCTCCTGGTTACTGGAGAATCTAAGATGAAAATCTTACATTCCCAACACCTGTCATTCTAGAGTGGATTGTTTTGTGTTCTTAAGATAATATACCAGAGATTGGATAAAATTTTCAATGTTTGTTTGTTCAGAATATTTGTTTTGTTTTATTTTATTTACCTTTTTGAGACAAAGTCCTACTATGTAGACCAAGCTGGACTGAAAGTCACTATGCTGCCTAGGATGGCCACTAACTCTCAATCCTCATGTTTCAGCCTCCTGAGTACTGAGATTACAGGTGTGCATCATCATGACCACCCAGACTGAGTAATTTATAAAGTACGTATATTTGCCTCATGGTTCTTCAAGCTGTCAAGTCAAAGGTTAAGGAGCCTGGCCTTGCTGCTGGTCATAACATGGTGGAATGTGTAAGGGCAGAAGAGCATGTGGGAAGGAAAGCAAAAGGGGGGCACCTCACTTTTATTAAAATCTCTCAGAAAACTAACCCACTCCTGAGAAAAGACAAGTACTGTGATCAATCACAAGGGCAGAGTCCTCAAGACCTCAGCCCGTCTTACATGCGCACACCTCCAAACTCTGATATATTAGAGATAGAATTTCCAAAACAAAGTCTTTGGGGCACAATTCTAACCACAGCACAGGGAGAAAGTCAGAGCAGTGAGATAGCTAAGTGACAGGTAGGCTTCATGTGACGGAGCACAACCAACAGGTGGTTGCTGCAGCAGTGATAGACATGAACAGGGGCAAGATTTGGAGACTGTGGAGTGCGAAGTGGATGGAACTTGTGACCTTCTTGACTATGTGATACCCAGCACCAAGCCGAATGTCCTAAGGAGGCAAAGGACAACTTTGTGCTCAGTCTCTGTGTATGGGTCTCTCTTTTACAGCACTTTTGCAACTCAGTGAAAGGGAAGAATATGTACCACCCCCAAATATGCCACCTGAGCTCAAGGATGACATTGAGCTGGTGGCAATTAAAGAGAAACAGATGGTAGGAAAGCTCCCTGTCCTTCACCCATAGTCTAAAAGCAGGACATAACTTTATAAAGGTGCCCTTCTTCTGCTCTCTACCGGGAAGGATAAAGATTGGTCACAGTGACATCAGACTCTTATCAGCACCAGAGAAATCTATAAAACAACCTTAACAACCAGACAAGATCTATCAAGCATTTGTCTTCCCATAACCTCTTGCCCCTAGACATTGAAAATCTATTGCCTTTTGTCTTGATACTTCTGTGAAAATCTGTTCTTTATTTCAGATGGCATATAATCCAGAGTATCTTTTTTGATCAACCATAGGAGCTTTGCCATATCCTTCCAGGAGAAGGCTTATCTTAGGCTTGTCAGAATTGGTTCATTCTGACTATATATGTAGAGTATTGATGAGCCGAAATTTGTGGTTGTCCCCTGTACACTGCCATTTTCAAGAAAGATGAACCAGATAATACAGGGGCTCATCAAAGAACAGAGAGAAAGGGCCAAACATAAAAACACATTACAAACATGGTCTCTCAAATGATATCTAAAGACCGTGGAACCCCACAACACTCCTATCAAAAATCACTTCTTTCCACCCCCCATCCCAGGGAGCTCTCCTCCAAACTCTGTTTGATCCTTTCCTGTCTCAGTTAGGTAACCCAACACTCACATTTAATTTTTTTCTCAGACTTGGGATAGGCAACAGTTCATTGTATCTAACTGCTCTCACAAAACCACCGAAGCCTTCAATCCAAATTTAAGGTGAGGAGAATCTGTCCCCATAAACAACTCCCTTAAAATTCTCCCTCTAAACATCACTTCACAAACTCACACACACACCCCTACCCTCTCATACTTTCAGAAAGGACAGAACTTTAATAGCTTCTAAGGGTTTCTTGATCAACTCAACTGGAAATTTATATGGAGTGAATTGCCTTGAAATTGAACAATTGTGGCCATGCCTCCGTCAAAGTGAAAAATGATGGGTCCTATTTTGATGTTCTATTACACATAGCACCAGGAACTTCACCCTGGAGACTAAGAATTTTCAGTGAATTTTGAATGTGAGCTTTGATCCATGGAAAGGAAAGATATTTCGGTTTGTGAAGGCACTACATTAAAAATGTGGAAGAAAACCAAGACAATTTGCCAGTTTGTGAAACAAACTGTCACAAACTTGTCACAAAATAGGGAGTAAATGAATCTGAGCACCACCACCCCAGAAGACCTAATATATGGGCTGTCCATGGATTCAGTCCTGAACTCTGTTCCAGCCTCATCTATTCACACCTTGGTTATTTCAGCCTGTCCCATGTTATCCAATATAAAATATAAGCTGCTACCTATTCTGAATTTTTTTAACACAAGCTTGGTTTGTGCAAACCTCCAACTTCAAAACGATTTTCATAATTTTAGGTTATTGGATAAGAATACTCTCTGAATTATTCTAGAGAATTTTATGGCCATTAGTCAGGTATAGCTAGTTCTGTCACTTGCAGCTCTTCAGGCTGCAACACCAGCACAACACTAGGTGGCACCTGTCACACCCCTTTGATCTCCAAGGAGGAAAGCAATCATTCTTGAATTCCAAAGTGGTCCTTGGGTATTTATGCTAAAGCATTCTTTGTTTTTTCCTCACATTTTATTCTCACAATATTTAGCTACAAAACAGTATCTGTTGGGTATGATAATTTAAACAACACAGAGTTATAAAATAAAAAACTGGATTTTTATTCTTGCACTTTTTTACCCTCAAATAACCATTGTAAACACTCTAATATGCCTTCTTCTACATTTGGAATGTTTTTCCTTTTTATTTTATATTTTCACCAAAATGTATAATATTTATTAATTTGCCAAAAAGCATGTCTTAAATTTCCAAGGCAAATGTATGTATATGTAATATATATATATATATATATATATATATATATATATATATATATATATATGTGTGTGTGTGTGTGTAATGTATATGTATATATGTGTGTGTATGTATATATATAATATACACATGTGTGTATATATGCACACACATATATATGCATATATATGCATGTGTATATATGAACACACACATATATATGTGTATAGATATGCCTGTCCCTTGACTCCAGACCCAAATATTGCGTTATTCATGCAACATCTCCCTCTGGTAGCCGGTATGCCTGAAAAGATCTTGAGTGAACCTGACCCTAGATCCCTCTCTTCACTCCAGCTCCTTCCAGTCTTCTCCAATCCAATAGTGGTGATGCCACCCTCCCTGTTGCACACAGGTCATTTACATAACCCTATCTAGGGCTGGAGGTGTAGTTCAAGCAATACAGCACCTGCTTAGCAAGCACAAAGTCTTGAATTCAAACAGCAATAACTGAGGGCTGAGTGAGTGAGATGGATGAAGTTGCTAAGAGAGAGTTCCTTTCCACCATGAAGAATGACTCATTCCAGACCATTGTGGTGTACCTCACACCCCCATATCTGGTATCATTTATTCCAGGTTTCTGGAGAATGAATGGCCAATGACAGGCTGAGCACTAAGCAGCTACCCCCATAAGAGAATAAAAGGCAAGCACCCCAGTGATCAAGGAATTGAGTGCAGGGCTGCCAGAGTGACTCAAGTGGTAGAGTGCCTGCCTAGCAAGTGTGAGGCCCTAGATTTAAACCCTAGTGCAGCCAAAATAAATAAATAAGGGAAGGACACCTGTGCTCCTGTGAGCACAGAGAAAGACTTCAGAATAGTGGGACTCAGATGAACGAGGGATGTGAACCCCAACACTCAAGGTTCTGAGCAAATGTCAACCATACAAGGTTCTGTCCTCCTGTTTAAACCCTACATCTCACTTGTGGCTGGATGGATACTTCTGCTTCATGTTATTGTTTCTTCAGGAGTCAAAATAGGATACTAGGGCAGGGAGCATGGGTGGGTGCCCAGTACCTTGTCTTTGACCCTTTTAGGGTGTGTCCAATGGGTGTAAATAGTAATATGAGAAATTCATGTTTATAAAACATAGCTGTGTATCTCTACATGGATTTTGTGTTGAAGCTTACTAATATCCCTAAGGGATATTGTAAAAAAAAAAAAACTATTTCCACTTTTAAGTGAAAGATTTAAGAACCTCTGATGTAGAGGCATGGCTCCAGGATAAGAATAGGAACTAGAAAGAATTTCTAGGTGACATCACTGGGAACTTGCTCCCCTGACCCCAGGCAACTGCTCCTCCCTTCATTACTCTCAAAACCACCTCACTAGAAGGATTGGCATACCCTATACCATGAATAGGAGGAAGAAGGAAGGGAAAGCCACATTTATAATTGCTGTAACAGCAGTAATTACAATCCACACGTTTTGAGGCAGGTTCAGTGGTTTTTGCTATGGGCAACATCAGAGTTTTAAGTCAAAGAATTTGAGAAACACACTCACACACACCATTTTACATGAGTTCAACTCATCTTTGGTTTTCAGGCTCTCTCTTGATTCACTTTTACTCTCCCACATCTCCTGCCCCTCATGGTGAACTGTTCACGGGACTCCCACCCATGCAGTGTTGAGAAATTCCCATAAATAGAAAACATTGCCTCGAAATACAATATCCAATACCATTTCTCTAATTTTTTCTCTTCCATTTCTGGATTTGTGCATTGTCACACCAAACTTCTTACTATACATTTAGATGGGTTCTCATATTTGTGGACCTTTGCTTACTTTGCTAAGGAGGACATTGAGATGATGACTGAGAGAAAAATTATAACATGACAATGTAAATTCTCATTTTGGTGGTTACAAGCTGTATATTATCTGAGTAAATGATGCAAAAGCAGACTGCTTCCAAACACATAGAGAGTATTGAAGGTAAAATGTGTGTTGCTATCATGGTTCAAGCAAAATAGGTCAGTGAATGCAAAAAGAAGCTATAGCCAAGTAACCTGTGCACAGCAGCTGTGGTCCCAAGTAGAGCAATGGCCTTCCCCAACATGGAAGAGGACCTCCACTCCCACCCTGAGAATGCAACACCTAAGGTCCATTTGCCATTCTATTAAGTAAGATGTACCACTATTGCTTCATCATTTGGAAGAGACGTTTAGCATCATCAGCCACTGTATCAAGGAATTTTATGTGTAGAAAGTAAACTTTAAAGAACTGAATGATAGCAGACACAGGACCTCCAATGACTGAACACAAGTGCTCAGCACAACTCTTGGCTTTTGCTGCTATACTGTCATCCTTCCCAACATGACAGAAATCTGAGGATTTTATTAAATTCTTCAGGTGATCCACAGATACACCCAGATTTTGAGAAATCTTTTCAATTGACTCATTATCCACACCAAAATGGCTTCGGTAAACTTTCAAGCATGCTTGCTGTTCAGCAACACCAAAGCCACTGATGAAGGGCATGCAGGGCACCAAGCCCACAGCTGCTGACTTCAGGGCCTCCAGCCAGATTTTCTCCCTGAGGAAGGTTTTCTTCATCTCAATGGCATCTTCAGAGGAACTGGGCATCAGGAGTGCAAGTACATGGCGCTTGTGGGCAGGGAGCTCCTTCAGCAGAGTCTTCTCCAATTTTAGTAAATCAAAGTCACCCAGGTCAAAGTTGGAGACCAAGAAGACCTGGGGCTCAGGCACTCCACTGTTTTGGAGATGAGTCACACAATCGTCTCGAATCTGCTGAAGAACTTTCTCCCTTTGGAAGGACTTTGGTTTGGCTCTCTTTTCATTGTATAAGTCACTGTCCACCTTGGTTCTAACAAAGTAGAACTTCTTCCCCATCTCATTGATTTTCTGGGCCAGGTCAGCATCATTGAAGCTAAACCAAGAGGAAGAAATGATGATGAAGAAGTCGTATTCAGCCAGGCCCACTGTTTCTAGGTAAGTGTCTGGGTGAAAATTAGGACTCCCATTTCCAGGTAGGTCCCAGAAGGTCACCTTGGAATATTTTGGATGTTGATAGGGGGTTTTCCTCATGGTGGTCTCCACAACCCCAACACTGGCTGATCCCTCCTCTTGGTGACTAAGCCCTCTCAGGGCATTGATGAAACTGGACTTCCCAGACCCAGAATCTCCCATCACAGCCACATTCAGGGAAGCATTTTCTGCTGCGTTAAGTGATTGTTGAATCTTATCCACCACATCTTCAACTTTCCCCTCCTCCAGGGCTGCATGAATGCTTCTGAGGGATTCTGCAGAGAGGATGCCTCCTGACTTACTGATTAATTTGTCATATTCAGACTCAAAGTCAGCAGCCAATTGCTGATAATTCTTCAAGATCAGATTTTTCAATAACTTTAGGATGGACTGATACATGGCAGTTAACTGTGGAAGGTCTGTGAAAAGGAGAGAGAAAAAGAGGTAACGAGAAATGAGTATTGAAACAGAAACATGGGATCAGGAGAAGAGACACACTGGTCTCTAGGGCCACACTGACACACATTCTCTCAACTGACTCATTTTACTCTAAATAATTTCTACGTGGCGAGTTTTGTTTCCACTGCCGGAGAAGACACTGCATATTCTCTGTGCTGTTGGTTTCTATGTCTAGGAGTCAAGACACTGTAAGTAGTCCCTAAATTGTCAGAATAATAGTCCTTAAAGTTATCCACATCGTACACCCCAGACCTTTGAATAACTAACATTACATGGAAAAAGGTACTTGACTGATGTGATTAAATTAAGGATCTTCAGATGGGACCAATATTCTGGACTACCCAGGTGTGCTCAATCTCATCAAGATTACAAGAGTAAGGCATGAAGAAAAAAGAAGACAAAAGACAGACATGAAATGACTAAAACAGAAGTTGGAGTGAAGATTAGTAAAGATGAAAGAAGTACTGAGAGCCAAGAAATGCAGGTAACCATAGACTGAGGAAGACAAGGAATCAGATTGCACCCTGGACCCTCCAGAAGCAGGATCCACGCCTAGCAAGTATGAGGTCCTGAGTTCAAATGCCAGTACTGTCAAAAAAAAAGCCCAGAAGGAGGATCCAGTCTTGTTGGTACCTTGATTTTAACACCTGGACTTGGTTTTGGCACTTTGGACTTCTGACCCCCACACTAGGAAGACAATAACTTTCTGGGCTTCATTCTAATTGTCACGTGATTACTGCAGAGATTCATGGAGTGATAAACTGTGATCGTTCCAAACATGGATACAATGACCAATGGTCAAATCATAGTAGTTACCATACCCAGCACATGAAATATACATCATGTGTTTGTGTTGGAAACATTCAAAATCCTCTCCTGAAGCTATTTTCAAATACACAGTAGGTTATTAATCACAGTCACCCTTCTGGGCTCCCAATCACTAGAACTTAATCCTCCCACCTAGCCAAGTTTCTATAGCCATACACCAAACCTTCTCTATCTCCTGCTGTTGTTTGCATCTTGAACATCCCCCAAAGACCAATATGTTGAAGTCTTTGGCATTCACTTATGGCATTTTTGGTAAGTGGTAGAACAAATAGAAAGTGGGCCCTAGTGGAAGGAAGTTAGGTCACTGACAAAATGCCCTGGAAGGGGTATTTCGGCCCTGGCACATTGTTCCATCTTTGCTTCTATCACAATGAGGCAAGCAGGATGCTCTGCCACATACTCCCCACAATAATAGTTGACCTCACCATCACCACCACAGGTTCAAAGCAAAAATCCAACTGATGATGGACAAGACCCTATGAAATCATGCACCAAAGTAAACACTTCCTTTTTATAAGCTGATTATCTCGGTATTTTGTCACAGTCTTAGAAAGGTGACTAACACAACTTTTCCCTCATCCCTCTCAGGTTCTGGTCACTATTCTCTAATCCTTTGAGATCAGCTTTTTTTTAACTTCCACAAAGAGTGAGCATATACATATTTATCTTTTGTGTTATTTCATTTAACATGTGTTCCAGGCTCATTCATGTTTCCACAGAACAGGATTCCATTATTTTTTGGCTGAATGATATTGCATTGTGTATGCATAACTATTTTCTTTATGCATGCACTCTTCCATAGACACCTCTGTTGACCCCATATCTTAGTTCCACATACCTCTCCTACTTGCTGCCACTCCCTCCCTCTGGGGACTTGAGCTGAAGATGTGCTGTTTTCAGCCACTGAGATGTGACAATTTGTTATAGCCATAATGAGAAATTAATTGACAGATTTTGGGTTTCCTGAGACCTCACCACAGACATCAAAAGCTTTCCACCTTCAGGATGAATCACTCAGGCCAGCACTTTAGTGAGCACAGAGCCTTTCCAGACACACTCACTTCCCGAGCGCTGCAGGAAATTAGGGCACAACTTGCCTCAAGGGCAACACAAGTGCAGAGTCAAGCCACCAGGTGGTGGCTGTTCTGCCTGCCTGCCTCTGTTCCATAAGAGTTATAATCACGTACACAAGTTGATGCGATAATAACTGCACTGAAGTTAACTTATATCTGTAACTGTTCTAGGAAGTAAATACTGTAGCAAGAAAGGGGAGGCCAGAAAAGAAACAGACAGGCTGTGTTTTGATGGCTAGACAGGGAGGGGATGGCAAATCAGAGATAAAACTTAAAGAAATGAAACATGAAGTTCACATAGCACTGGGGAAGTCAAAGGCACGTGCAGCCAAATGTGGGTTGAGCTTTGCTTTTTGCTTCTGTAACCTGTTTGCAAGGGTATATAAGGTGAGCCCCTTTGTTCTAGGGGCTCAGCCTTTGGACACGAGTCCACTGAGTCTGTGCTGGCACAGTAAATGTTGCTTCCTGATAATCTGCCTCAGAGACTCCTATCTCAGCTCATAATTTCCCACATTACAACTTCAAATTTTTCTATACTAACTACAGCCTTTTTTTTATTTAACCAAGCCAACTCAAAAAAAATATTACTATATTATTGGCAGAGCCTTCAATTCATTTCTTATAAAAGAAAGGAAGTTTATATAAGGAAACAGAATTTTTAAACATCCACACACATCATGTTGGCTCAAGGATGAACACAGGGCTTTTCCAGTTGGGTGTGCTTGATGTCCCCATCCTACAGGCCCTTCAAAAACAGCCTTCATAAGAAAAAAAAATCATGACTCTCAAACGAAATAAAATGAACATGCTTGAAGGATTTTAATATGATTACCAATGACATAACAAGGCAGGTATTACAATCAGGAGTCTTCTTGGAGAATCTTCCAGAACAGACATATTTATCTAATGTTTATTACCATAAATGTGGAAATGGAGGCAAATGTGTTCTCTTCATGGGGAGGGTTGGGAGTCACCTGAAGCTCAACAGACAGATTTGATTTATGTGCCCATGGAGGAACATTATTTGCATTGTCGCTAATTATGAAAAAACTCAGAGCTATACAATAGCTCTATAACAGTGAAATGCTAGAACCAGAAAACCCAGGTATTTTACAATGAACACTACATAGTTTCCTATGGGAGACACCCCATAAATATTCTGCTTAATTCAATTTTTCTCTCAACTTTCTCAACAACAAAAGGCATCTTCAGACTCAAGGTTGTCTGCTGTGTAAACGATGACCTGACTTGCTGCCTCTCCCAGACATCTCTGCCCCTAGCCCTCCAAGCACAAACCCAGACCCCAGTCACTACAGATCCACTTTTCTCACTCACCTGAGCCAGAGAGACTTCTGATTGTCAAAGATCAGACCCAATGTTTCCACTGAAAGCTGACAATGCTGAGCCTGTTGCAGTACTCACTGAACCCACAGCACAGGAACTTACACCTACGCACAGCTGTCCTCCACCAGAAAGAACATGCTCTGCCTGTAAGAAACTCTCTGTCTTCTGACCTTGTACTAAAATTCCTCGTGCAGGCCATGGATCACAAGCTTTGAAACATTCTGCACTGCCCAGCCCACATGGGCAATCTTGAAACACTACATTCGCCATCCTCCCACCTTTGTTCCTGCCTCTGCCTTGGCTTTAAAATACGCAGCCTACCCCTGCTCAGTGCGCTCTTGCACTCTCATCCCTGGAGATTGCCAGACACCCTTATATCTTGCTAATGAAGTGTGATTCAACTCCATTGAGGTCTCTGTTCTTCTTTCCAGCCTTTTCCTAACACTGTCCTCCTGGGGTCAACACAGAGAGCAAGAGATGAGGAGAGCCTCTGGCACACCTGAAATGACCAGCCCCAGTGTGGAGGCAAAAGAAAAAACCTATGAACAATCTCTGGCTGGTGAATCTCATCAGGAGGGAATTGTTTATTAACTAATATACTCAGATAAAGTGAAAATGAAACTAAGAAAGTTTTATGTATTTTCTAGACAGTGTAAGATTTCCAGGAAAGGCATGACACACATTATCAGGTGTGTTATGGCCTACACCTGTAATCTCAGCACTCAGGTGGCGGAGGCAGGATGGTCAGAGGTCAAGCCCATCCTGGTCTATATAGTGAGACCCTGTTTCAAAAAGAAAAGAATCAAAGAAAAGAAGAATGGAAGGAAAACAGGAAGGAAGAGATGGAGGAAAGAGAGAGGGAAGGAAAGAAAGAGAGAAAGAAAAAGGGAGAGAGAAGAGGGAGAGAAGGAATAAAGGGAGGAAGGAAAGAAGGAAGGGAGGGAGGGGAAGAAGGGAGGGAGGAAGAGAAGGACAGGGAACAGGTCAGCAGATTGTTCTTGAGTCCCTGGCAAAGACCCCCAGCTCTACTGAATGGAGCTTCAGAGCTGATTCCTTCTTCTCTGGACTCTGGTGAGCCCTGTACTGAGGGGGCTAGAATCTAAAACCTGAGGCCCTCTCTGTGCTCTTGGAGACTACTTCCCCAGTCAGTCTTCCTTATAACAAAATGAGCCTCCACCGGAAGGTGAGATGGTCATCCATGGACATATTATTCCCTGGAAATCATCATTTGCACCTGAAACTCAAAACTCAGCCACTTCAGAGACACCTTTTTCAGTCCAGAGTAGGATCTGGACAGAGTCCACCAGACAGATACAAAGTTGCCAACTGCATTTTCAAGAACACTTGGTAAATGTTCTAAATTCAGGGTCTCCTCCAGAACCTAATCTATCTTTCCAGTTTTTGAATGGTTTGGAACTAGACACAAAGAAATGCACAAGGTCCAGGCAGTCAGCCATAATTTGTTCTCTTTCTGGTGAATGGTCTCCTCTCCTCTTCACCATCCAAAGAGTCCTCCAACCCCAGGGGACATGAGCAGGGTCATCTGTTAACCACCCAAGACCTGGCATACCCAGAGGTGGGTCTGACCAGGAGGCTGCTCAGAACCAGGGCTCCTCTGAGTTAATGTTGCCAGTTTGGGATCCGAGTCAGCTAAGATGGAGTGAAGAGATGTGGGACAGGCATAAAACTAGGTTGTCCAGAGCCCACAGGCTGAG